TATTGGTCCTTTTAAAATCTGGCTTATTTCACTTAGCACAGTGTTTTACAGGTTCATCCATATTGTGGCATGTATCAGTTACATTTTTTAAAAGTTGAATAGCATCCCATTGTATGTATATATCACATTTTGTTTATTCATTCATCTACTGATGGACATTTGGGTTGTTTCCATCATTTGGCTATTGTGAATAATGCTATGAACGTGATACAAATATTGTTTGAGTTCCTGCTTTCAATTCTTCCTTCCTTCCTTCCACAGACAGAGACAGCAAGAGAGGGAACACAAGCAGGGGGTGATGGGAAAGGGAGAAACAGGCTTCCTGCGGAGCAGGTTGCGGGGCTTGATCCCAGGACCCAGGGCTCATGACCTCAGCCAAAGGCAGACAATTAACGACTGAGCCACCCAAGCGCCCCTGCTTTCAATGTTGAGTACATACTCAGAAGTGGAATTGCTGGAACAAATAGTAACTCTGTTTAATTTTTTGAGGAACCACAGTATTCTTAACATTTTTGTCAAGAGCATACTCTTTCAGGCTTCTGCAGGTGGACTGTATGCCTGTTGTGTTTTATGCAATGTCAAGTACAATTTATTCTGTGTAGTGATTCCTATTGTAGAGTAGAATCAATCACACATAATGTAAAGTCCACCGCCCAGAATATAATTAGTGCAGGGGTTGGCTATAGTTTATTAGAGATTTATTTTTTATTTTTATTTACTTATTTTAAGTAAACTGTGCATCCAATGTGGGGCTCAAACTCACCATTCTGAGATCAAGAGTCACATGCTCTATTGACTGAGCCAGCCAGGTGCCCCTTTTAGAGACTTTAATCTGTGTACATGTAGATGGCATAGCCAAATACTAAGCATCGAAATACTGAATAACATTTTCAAGATGATTATTTTATTTCTTTATTTATTAATTAAAGATTTTATTTATTTGACAGAGAGAGATACAGTGAGAGAGGGAACACCAGCAGGGGGAGTGGGAAAGGGAGAAGCAGGCTTCCCGCGGAGCAGGGAGCCCGATGTGGGGCTCGATCCCAGGACCCTGAGCCGAAGTCAGATGCTTAACGACTGAGCCACCCAGGCGCCTCTCAAGATGTTTATTTTAAAAACATTTCTGATGTATCACTGCGGGCTTCCCAGTCTCAACTTTCCTAGGAAAAGGAAGACAGCATTTAGTGACAAGCATCCAGAACGACTAGGCTTTACAAACTGGTGGAAAGCTGGATCAATATTTACATAGTGCCACAAATTCTTATGTCCAAGGTAAGCTCCGGGTCAGTATAATTCTAGATTTTACAATTAAATACCCTGAGTGGTGTGCCTTGAAATCAGTGTGTGGGGAGATACTGATCCCCACTGTCTTCGGGATGGCCAGGTGGATGGAACTTGGAGCAGCCAGAGCTCCCTTATCTGTCACCTTACCACCAGGAGTCCTGGACTGCCTGAAATATGGCCAAGGAGGGGGAGGGGCACCTGGATGGCTCAATCGGTTAACTGTCTGCTTCGCTTGTGTCTAACTTGGGCTCAGGTCATGATCTGAGTCCTGGGATCGACCCCCACCTGGTCACCCACTCTGGCAGCAGCTGCTGAGCGTTCTGTTGCTCATCAAAGACAAGAAGCCATGGCGTTGCTGGAGCCCTCTGGTGTTTCAGGGACGTGAGGTGCTGCTAGCCATGCGGATCATGGGGGCTGAAGAGTAGGCCAGGGCTCCCGGCAGGTGTAGCTCAAGACAGCCTGGCTTTCTGCTTCATGTATGTGGAATACTTCTGACCTTTGTGGTCAAAGCTAGGGGCAGGGTGACTGTTCTAAAAATGCATGTTCACATTCTGTGAGTTATAGCTTCATCATCTTGAAATATTTGATGTGATTTTACTTTGATTAAAAATCCACATTATAAGAAATTTCACATTTGTCAATGAAAGGAGTTAGATTCTTTAAATTTAATTTCAGTCGTAAATTATTATTTTTTTAAAAGATTTTATTCATTTATTTGACACAGAAAGACAGAGAGGGAACACAAGCAGGGGGAGTGGGAGAGGGAGAAGCAGGCTTCCCACCGAGCAGGGAGCCTGACGTGGGGCTCGATCCCAGGACCCTGGGACCATGACCTGAGCCGAAGGCAGACGCTTAACGACTGAGCCACCCAGCCGCCCCTCAGTCGTAAATTATTGAGATTTAATCCAAATACCGTAAGATTCCCTTTAAGAATGTACAACTCAGGGTTTTTTAGTAGGGTCACAGTTGTGCAGCTGCCACCACCTTCTATCTGGAATATTTTCATCACCTAAAAACGAAACTCTGCTAGCAGTCAGTCTCTACTTCCTTCCTACCCTCAGGCCCTTGTAACTACTACTTTCTCTCTCCATGGATTTGTCTATTCTGGACATTTTATATAAATGGAGTCCTATGTTATGTGCCTTTGAGTCTGGCTTCTTTCACTTGGCACACTTTTCAAGATTCATCTGTGTTGTAGCAGGTGTCAGTGCTCCATTCCTTTTTATGGCTGCATAATATTTCACATATGAATATATTGCATCTTTTTTATCCATTCATCAGTTGAATCGTAAAATTTTAAATGATTATAACAATGGTTTCAAGTTTTTTTTTTTTTTTTAAAGATTTTTATTTATTTATTTGAGAGAGAGAGAATGAGAGATAGACAGCACGAGAGGGAAGAGGGTCGGAGGGAGAAGCAGACTCCCCGCAGAGCGGGGAGCCCGACATGGGACTTGATCCCAGGACTCCAGGATCATGACCTGAGCCGAAGGCAGTCGCTTAAGCAACTGAGCCACCCAGGCGCCCCGGTTTCAAGTTTTTTGTCACCTCTTTGTACAAATAAATTTGTAGATGGTGATTATGAAGAATGTGAAGATGTTACCGCTAAAAAGTCTGGATTAGGAATTGTGTATAGGGTTTCAGCCTATTATGAAAAAAAAAGTCATGTTCCCACAAGTAGGCTGTCTTTTGACATTCTGAAAATCATTTCTTGGAAGTGTTACACAAATTTAAAAGTTTCTATAAAACTTAGTACATGTTATTTTTCTTATCACAATTATATAAAGGATATGGAGTGAATTTTTTTCTCTAAGTCTTATGTATACATTCCGAAGTCCTCTCAAATTTATTCCATTGTGCCATACAAAAAATATCTTTTTATGTGTGCCAGGATGTGAAAAATGTTGGAAGGCACACCTTAGAGAAAGCCTCAGATTTTACTTAAAGGTTTTAATTTTAGGGGCGCTTGGATGGCTCAGCTGAAGTGTCTGCCTTCAGCTCAGGTCATGAGCTCGGGGTCCTGGGATGGAGCCCTGCGTCAGGCTCAGTGGGGAGTCTGCTTCTCCTTCTCCCTCTGCCCCTCCCCTTTGCTTGTGCTCTCTCTCTCTCTCAAATAAGTAACATCTTAAAAAAAGATTTTATTATTTTTTAAAAGATTTAATTTTTTAAAAACATTTTATTTATTTATTTGACAGGGAGAGTTACAGCAAGAGAGGGAACACAAGCAGGGGGAGTGGGAGAGGGAGAAGCAGGCTCCCCACCGAGCGGGGAGCCTTATGTGGTGCTCGATCCCAGGACCCCGGGATCATGACCTGAGCCAAAGGCGGAAGCTTAACGACTGAGCCACCCAGGCACCCCAAAAGATTTAATTTTTAAGTAATCTCAACACCCAACGTGGGATTCGAACTTACAACCCTGAGATCAAGAGTCACATGCTCTACCAACTGAGCCAGCCAGGTGCCCCAGAAAGCCTGATTTTAATGAGGATTCCTATTAGGAAGAAATGGCTACACTCATGGCTGTGTATATGGCTCACTGAGAAAGTTCACAGATTTATAATTTTGCAAATTGATCCTACTTCCCTACAAAATTCATCCTTCATAAAATGTTCATGGCCAGAGTTCACAGTCTTGAGTGGTACAGGGGCTGTCTGGAGACCTGTGGGTCAGTTTTGTGGAGTCAACCTTCTCCCCCTAGCTTGCTTGCTTTTTTTAAGATTTTATTTATTTATTTATTTATTTATTTATTTATTTATTTATTTATTTATTATTTAGGAGAGAGAGAACATGAGCGGGGGAAAGGGCAAAGGAAGAAGGACAAGCAGACTCCCCACTCAGGCGGGAGCCCCATGTGGGGCTTGATCCCAGGACTCAGATCATGACCTGAGCCGAAGTCAGACACTTAAGCGAAGTAGACAGTTAACTAATTGAGCCTCCAGGTGCCCCTCCCCCTAGCTTTCTTGAGGTGTAATTAACCAAAATGTAAGATACTTAAAATGTACATGATGATGATTTGATATACATTGTGAAAGGGTGTCCCACCATCTATTTAATTAACACATCTATCAACTCATATATTTATCTCCCCCTGCTTTTTTTTGGTGAGAACATTTAAAGTTCTACTCTCTTAGCAAATTTCTATCATACAACAGAGTATTACCAACTATAGTCACCATGTTATACATTAGACCCTTGAGCCAATCTTTTAATGGGCCAGATCTAATTCATTCATTTTTTTCCCCTCTATGACTGATAAGATCATCTTAAGTTTGAATCATGATTTTGTGACAGCAGTTAATACTCCGTATAAAATATACGTATATTTTATTTTTTTAAAGATTTCATTTATTTATTTGATAGAGAGAGGGAGAGCATAGAGGGAGAGTGAGAGGCAGAAGCAGACTCCCCGCTGAGCAGAGAGCCCAGTGTAGGACTCGATCCCAGGACCCTGAGATCATGATCTGAGCCGAAGGCAGATGCTTAACCGAGTCACCCAGGTGCCCCTAAAATATATATTTTTAAAGATTTGTTTATTGAAGTAATCTCTACCCCTAATGTGGTGCTCGAATTCACAACCCCGAGACCAAGGGTCACATGCTGTTCTGGCTGAGCCAGGCAGGCGCCCCTCTATAAAAAATATTTTGTAGAACAAAATGTTCTCACATTTAAAGCTGTGAAGTCTAGATTTGAAAATAACACACACACACCCCACATACTTTTCTATTGTTTTACAGTTTATTTTTAAAATGATAGTAATAAATGCTTTTCCCTTGTTGGGGAATGACATACCTATTTTCAGTGGATAGAGCCTTAAAAAGTAACAGCGTTTTGTCCAAACTGAACTTATATAATTGCACAAAAGTCATACAAAGCATTAATAAATGCTAACAAAGACTGCAGTTCCCTCAGATCCTCATGAAGCATATACCCCAGGAGGCCTTGATTTCAGTGGGGATCTGAGCCTCAAGTTCCTCAGTGACACACAGGCAGAAGTAAGAAGAGCAGCCAGGAAGATGCATGTACTTTGTGACAATGGGCTTCTGCTCTAATTAAATGTCAGCATTTAATGATGTATCACCTTCTCATTATATTAGGAAAATTAAACACTTTGGCTTGAATTATATTTTCCCAGGATTAAAACCTAACACTATCAGCTTAAGTTTTAGGTTACAGATCCCACCTTGGGAAACTAAAATTAAAAAAAAATTAACCACACCATAAAAATCTCTTGCAAGCAGTCCTTTATGCTGCCCCCATCCTGGGCCCTCACTTGGTTTCTAACACACACACACACACACACACACACACACACACACACACACACACACACAAATGAGCTCTATTATTGCTCATATGCCAGCTGAGGGATGGCGGACAGGGTCTAACGCAAATCCCAATTTTGTTTTATTGGTAGCAGTTACCGGAAACACAGTGTTACAAAGGACTCTGAGGTCACAGCTGGCCTGGCAGGGCAGTCCCTGTGCTGTCCTTATGATCTCTGACACAGATACAGGAGGAGGCAGCCCTCCTGCATCAGATCTGTAATCTTTCTATTATTGAGAAAGCTAAAGAGGATGTTGGTTATGTCAGCTTTGAAAAATATAACACAGTCCAATTTTTCTATTTTAATGAGTTACATTGTCTTCACGGGATTTTCTTAAACTTCATGGGATTTTCTTATTTTATGGATCTTAATCTCAAATTAAGATATAATGTCTGTGGTAGGAGCTTTCCCCTTCTGACCTTACAAAGACAGTGAAAAAATAAGGGTGTTTTGAAAGAAGACCCAGAGAGAACTTTCAGTCACCATGAGAAGTACCTTCCTAGCTTGGATATTATGGATGTGGGAAGAGAGGGGTTTCTACTCCAGCAATTGCTACTACTGCGTTTCAAATAAACACAACAGTCTGTTTCCTGATTATGAGGAAAAACACAGATTTCTGATATAAACACACAAAAGTAAGCAGCAGAGGCTATTGAGCTATGCTTCCTTCGTTTACATGGCATCATTAATGACCCAACCATCTCTCTCCACCTGAGGGAGAAAAATCCCAGTGTAACGTCTGAAGGACTTCTGAAGAGTAAGGTTTCCATTAGGAGAGCCTGGTGCATATATAAAGTATTATAGTTAGACATGGAGGAAATGCGGGGCTTGTCTGTGGTATGGCTAAGAATGAACAAGATTTTTGCCCTGTGCACCACTATCTGCTCAACAAATCCTGAACATGTCAGACAGCCCTGAAACACTATGCAATCCATCTCTTGATGGTTCTGATAGTCTGAGGCAATGCTTAGCTACTGAGGTTAATCCGGGACTCAAAGAACAATGTACTTGGCTCAGGCATTAAAAGTCACCAGAAGAATTCTGCCACAGCCATTCTAAGCAGGACTCACATCTGCAGAACTTGACTAGAATCTAAGCAGAAGTCTGTTTCGTGTCCAGGTGTGCTGCTATACATAAAAGCCACCTAGAATTTTAGCTAGAAAGTTGAAGACCACAAAAAAAAGATTTACAGAAGGAAAAGGAAATTTCTTTTTCAGGATTGTAGATGAACTAAGGGCACTCAATCCAAGGAAAGGGTTGTTGGGGCCACAGAAGCCCAAAGGGTGAGAAACTAGAGTTACGGATTTTCAGTCCCCTTCTTTTAGAAAGTAGCATGGGACTGAGAAGTTGGAGGGAGGGGGGTTGGACAGGCCCAGGGATAAGACACCACCTGTGTGGCCACCCACTCCCACAGCTGCTGAGCAAAGCCAGAGCACTCGAGGGTGAGTCCTGGCAGGACAGCGTGTGTATCACTCTGCTTTATACCATTATCTTTGTCTCCTGATGAAGTTGCTGCTTGTCTGCTTTTGGCTCTGTACCTTGGGTTTTCCTGGTAAGATGGGCAAACCTCTAGCACTGCAGGGAGTGTTAATCCCCCAGCTCGTTTCTTTCTTAAAATCCCTCAGATTTATGCTCTAACAATCAGCATGTTTTGTACATCCTGGGCCCATATCCAGGTTTAAAGGAGGCGAACACAGTAGTTCTATGACAGAAGCTCCTGAATAAACCATCTGCAATAATCTAGCCCCGTTCACTCTGCAAAGTGAGTTCTTGTATGAATGCAGCCAATGCTGTGTTGAGGGGAAATATGACTCCTTACTACTGCCCTTCCAGTGCTAATATCAGAGAAATAAAAGGATCATAGGATGTTTACAGGTACTGGGTGAGTTCCATATATTGCACTAGACACACTGTAGAATGATAACAGGAGCATCTCTCTGAAACCTGGGTGCCGTTCCTCTGACGTCAACAGGGTAAGGAGAGGATCTACCCTTGGCCAGGGCAGCAGCTTCAAGGGTGTGCTATGAGGGTCAGTGCACTAAGAATCTACAAAGAAAGCATGGATACCTGGAAAAGGAATCTTCTTCAGATTGAGAACAGACAGAGGTGTAGATCTATAGCAGATACATATATGCTTTTCTTTCTCTTCCACTTCTTCCTTCATCAAGCACTAAACACTTTCCAGGCCACAAGCAACCAAATAGCAAGAAAAACTCAAAACTGTTTTGTTTAATAGTTAGTGTTGCTAGAATCTGGATTGGAGCTGAATGGTGGGATTGTAGGACACCAGTGCCCACAAGGGCTCATATGGTTCCAGTAGACATACAGGGTCTGGAAGAGATGGATAGGAGTTATGGAAGATGTGTATTGGCCACCCACAGTCACTGACAGGTGGCTTTTAGTATAGGCAGAGACACTGGTGGTTAGCTCAAAATATAAGCATCATAAACAGCTTATGATATTAAGTAGATCTCAGCAAAAGTGTAGAAAGAGAAAGAGTTGGAGAGAAAGAGAAAATTTTCTGTATGTTTAATTGTGTTAACTGGAATGCATGGACATATATAATCAAGATCTTTCTGTACATTTAAAAATTAAACCTGCCTTGGTCATTAATTGTACAGAGTTAATGTTACTAAAGTTGTAGTAACATACTGTTCAACAATTCAATTTTCCAGATTTTTAGCTACTTAAATAAAGATCACATACACAATTTCATACATTCATACAGTTGCCACACTCCCAAATGGAACATGTGTAGAAGCATACACGCACAGATGCGCAGTCGGCACACGTGCACAGATGCGGACGTATACCCCCTCTAAACCTGAGAGGCATGCGGGCTGCAACGAGGGTCAAGAGGCCCTGTTGCATATCTGTTCGATGTCATTCATCTCTTTGGGGCAATCTGCAGAAAGGATGAGAGGTAAATCCTGAGTCACCACTACATCATCTTCAATTCGTACACCAAGACCACGAAACTTCTCTGGGGCATCTCTGTCGTCCTCTGGAATATAAATGCCTGAAAAGTAGAAAAAAGAATGTGCTTTTCCTAAGTGGCAGTAACTGGATGATTTGGGACAAGCAAGCTAACCTCTCTGTGCTACAAATGATCTGTAAAATTGCGATCCTAAGAGTATCTACCTAGAACTGTGGATATTAAGTGGGATAGTACATATATGTAAAAGTGTGTGCCACGTAATGGTCAATAAATGTTGGCTGCTAGAACTACTGCTGTAGTTGTTTGGTATACCAGACTATAGGCTCTATCATGATTCTGTCATATTCTGGTGGTTTAAGCAGGCCACTAAAGTTACTTATGAGTATGTCAACATATGCTGGGAACCAGTAGATTATATAAATGCATTCTTTCTCTGCCTAATCATCCCTTGGGAAAAGGGAACTGCTAAAACAGGGATATAAAGTATTTTAAAATATATTGAAAAAACCCACTTAGCCTGAACAACAAGCTGTAGAGATACTCAAAGAAGCCATAAATATAACTGATGCACACGATGCAGAATAAGAAATAGGAAGACTTTAAGGAACATTTGGAAAATTCTAAGAGCCCAAGGTACCCTTTCTAATCACAAAGTCAGACAAGAACATGTCTTTTCATATTTAAGAAACTGGAAACTTCCTCCATTATCCGCACAGATGCTGCCCTCTGATAAAAAGAAAAAGATCAGCAAAGGAATATGTAGCCAAAGCCTAAGGAAGCACCCATGCACCAACCAGACTGGAATGAATAGTACATAAGGCCACAGATAGCAATGTAGGCCTGGGTAGTATAACAAAGTCAGGTCCCAGCTATAATTTCTATAATTTAGAGAGGAAAACACTTGAAATCAACAGCTGAAATCCATTTTCGTGACAAAAACAGAGTATTTAAAAATTATTCTTTTAACGTCAATCCTTACACTCCACTGTGACCACCACTTCTCTGCTGAATTCTGCCCACTGCCCAGGATCATCAAGCTGGGCAGCCATTAGATCACCAGCTTTCTCTGAAGCTCAGGAAAAAGGACTTAGATCCGAAGGAGAATAATGTGGACAGTTCAATGCAGTTTGCAGAGTGGAACATGGTGAGTCTGAGTAGCTTTCTGCAGGGAAGCACCTGGGCCTCAGAGGTGTGAGCAGCCCACCACTGCACAGGAGACTAGTATAAGTTGGCCCTGGCAAAGGCAGGGTATAAAAAAAGATTTATTTCTTAATATTTACTTATAAAAAGTATTCCCCATCTTTATTGTTTATTGGAGAAGTCAAATTAAACAAATTGTGTGACGTTAAATAAGAAAGATCAAGAAAAAAATCTAAAATAAAGTTCCCATCTACACTGAAGAAATCCATTTTCCTGTCTCTCCTAATTTAACTATGTTGGTTCAGGTAAAAATAAACAACATTTACCTTTCTATCCGCTACTATTATGTGCCCCAAGGGATCACAGGCTGCTAGCACCTGCCCTTACCTGGCTCCACCGTGATTACCATACCAGGCTGTAGAGGGAGGGAACGGGGCATGTCTGGAGTGTCATGGACATCCATCCCGAGGTAATGGCCAACATGATGAGGGCAGTATTTTCGAGCAGCCTGGAAAAGGTAATCACCACAGTGTTATTAGCGCAATGACGCCTTAAGGGGAAAGCTGAGCATGCATAAGTCAGTGAGATATGTGTTAATACTTCCCCCACGTTTCTGCCATTTTGCAGTTTAACCTACCCTCGGGCTAATGCTCAAGAGACTTGATAAACTGCTACCTCTTGAATGCAATTCTACTGATGGCCTTTGAACTAATCCACATTTCCTTTCCCATTACTTAATATACTACATACATGCTGACTTGGGTAACCCCAGTAATGACTACGGCAAATGAAAACCTCTTTTCTTGGGGGAGGGAGGATGATTATGTTAGAATAGTTCTCTTTTCAGCGTTCACAAGTCCTTCTCAGAAAGCCGGCTCTAGAGATCCTGAGTATCTCACGGCAACTTGTGGAGTAGGCACAGAACATCAAAATTAACACAATAATTATTAGGCATTTACCGGCTTGGCTATTCCTATCCGTTAATTAGATTTGTTGGCTTCAGCAGGAGGAATTTATAATGTCTTTCCTACTGATAAAAGAAACCCTGGAAGCCTAAACTTGGAGATGAGATGCCTTAATGGTCTGTTTGGCGTGGCCACCTGGCATCTTAATTTAAAGCTAAGGTTTTACATTCTTACTGAACATCATTACATTTTGGATGTAGATGAAATTCACTAAAGACATGGCCCTTGGGGATACGGTTCATCTCACCAATGTCACTGAAGCAACAAACACCCTCCCCCACGACTTCTATCTTTTCAAAATCGCCACAAAGGGATTGAGAGTTAACCTCTTCTCCTTTTTTTGTGTCCATTTCCACCCTGTCTGCACCAGACTTCATTTTCTGCAGCTTGAGCTACTTACACAGGATGCAACGAACTAGAATGTGCTGCCATCTTCTGGGAGAAGTAAGTACTGACTCCTTTTGTTTTAATCCATGTTCACTCTAAATCCCTCTCGTAGACGAAGATCACAAAGACCATTTCTAAATTTAATTAGTTTTCCATAGGATAAAAACCCAGCAGCACATCAGGTGTTTTTGAGAGCCAGTGTCAAAAGAGGGGCAGTACCTTGAAGGCATTATTTCCCTTAATGTTCTTCACGATCCCTAACTCCTTAAGCTTCTGTGCAATCAGTGTCAGCATCAAGCTGTAGATGTTCTCCAAGCTTGTCCCAGGGGAGCAGAGGGTCAGACAGTCTCTCTGTATCTCTAGAACAGCTTCATAGAGTTCTGCCTGAGGTGCTGTGAACCTGGGGACAGGAAAACCAAATAACTCACATTTGGAATAATCTGATATTGCAGGAAGTTTGCTTCTAAATTTGATTAGGAAAACTCCCAAGGTGCTGATGATGGGGCATTGTTGATTACTTCATCAGTACCAGTATATCAGTACTGACAGGACCTTAACTGTGCCCTCAACACTCAACAAGAAGAGCAATAACTCTTAAAGCTGGGGCAGCAATAGTCTATCTTTCAAATGATCAGCAGCTATACATGAGGTGAGGCTAGCAGATGCACGCTCCCAGCAATGGGAGGGCCAGATCAAGCTCACCCTTGGTCCATTTTTTTTTTTTTACCATAAACAAACAAACAAAACAACAAACCAAAACAAAGTGATCCACTTCTTGTAGGTAAAGCAGATGTCATGAGATAAACTAGTAGATACTTTGGCTACTAGTAACATGTAGTTTTTAGGTGTCCTTAGAATAATAATTTCTTTAGCAGTCATGGGGAAAAATGAGAAACTATTAAGCTGGCATAGTATATGATATGGATTTTCTACACTGTTGATGGCAGTGCAAATTAGTATAGCCAATTAAATGAAGGGCCTTAATAACGATACTCATAAAATTTGAGCTTGTAATTCTGCTCTAAGATTCCATCCTAAGAAAATATTTGAAATAAAAAAAAGCTGAATATATAAAAACATTCAGGTTTTTTTTATAATTATGACACACTCTAAATGTCCCCTAATAAGAATGGTTAAAATAACAATATAATTGAATAATGAACACCTTCATATCCATCTCCAGGTTCAGCCATTAGCAACACTGTTATATTTGTGTCATCTATAAATGTACCTATATTCCAACCCACCACAGTATTACTAAAGAGTTAAGTTTTTTTTTCATGTAAATTTTATATATACTGAAGTACAGAAATCTGAGCTGTACAATTTTGACAAATGGATGTACTGATCCCAATAAAGTTGGGAACATTGAGCCCTAAATTCGGTTGAGTCTTTGCCAGTAGAAGCAGCCCTTCTACCCCCAGCTAAGGAGATTCACTCTATTTTGACTGAGAACCTACAGGAACCTCCCATGGGGGAGTTGCCTTAGCAGATGGTTCTAGACCTGTGATCAGATTCTACTCTCAGCAGGCCCTAAAAGGTTAGGTATAAAGTGTGACCCACCAGGAGGTGCACTATAATCCAAACAAACAAAACAAAACAAAAACCGATGTGATTTTTCCTCTTTACATAGACAAAAATCTAGGAATATGTGTGGGAATGTATATGAACACTGCAGGATAATGATGGAAGGAACATAAAGTTGGATAAGGCTGAATGTATTGATAAAAGTCCATTAAGCAGAGGGGCGCCTGGGTGGCTCAGTCAGTTGAGCGGCTGCCTTCGGCTCAGGTCATGATCCCAGGGTTCTGGGATCAAGCCCCACATCAGGCTCCCTGCTCGGTGGGGAGCCTGCTTCTCCCTCTCCCTCTGCCTCCCCCCTGGCTTGTGTTCATGCTCCCTCTCTCAAATAAATAAAATCTTTAAAAAAAAATAAATAAAAGTCCATTAAGCAGAGATTCTGGATTCAGTGTTGCAGCTCCAGGGTCAAATAAGGCTCTAACAGTCTATTTGGTTGGTTGGCTGAAACACACACTAAAAGGTAGCAAAGGTAGCCTACACTAAATGAGTTCAAATGCCAGAACTGCCTTGCTATAGAGAAGGAATTCCCACATCTGCAACATCCATTTTTTGCTGGAGTTTCTAGCCTGCTGGCCTACCTCACAAAATGCAGACATGCCAGCCCCAACTGCACGAGTCAATTCCTTAAAAAGCAATCGACCAACCTACCTACACATATACCCACATACATAATATATCCTAGTGGTTCTGTTTCTCTGGAGAACTCTGACTGATCCAGATCCATATTCCCATCATGACACAGAAAGTTTCCTCACTGTTATTCTAATCAGTATTCCCACAACCAGAGGCAAAGGCTGTTCTGATTATTTTATATTTTTATTTTTTTAAAAGATTTATTTATTTGGGAGAGAGAGAATGAGAGAGAGAGAGCATGAGAGGAGTTTTGATTATTTTCACCTTAGTTTTCTTTTTTTTAAGATTTTATTTATTTATTCATGAGAGACAGAGAGAGAGAGAGAGAGAGAAGCAGAGGGAGAAGCAGGCTCCCCGCTGAGAAGGGAGCCTGATGCGGGACTCGATCCCAGGACCCTGGGATCATGACCTGAGCCGAAGGCAGACGCCTAACCATCTGAGCCACCCAGGCACCCTTCACCTTAGTTTTCTATAATATAAATGGAATCATACGTATAAATGGAATCATACAATATATACTCTTTTGTGTTAAGCTTTCTTCACTGAGTACAATGTCTGTATGATCCATCATGGTGTTGGTTCAATCAGTAGTTTGCTGCTTTTTATTGCTAAGTGATATTCCATGTATGAATAAACCACAACTTGTATATTCAGTCTCCTGTTGATGGACATTTAGGTTGTTTCCAGTTTTGGGCTACGGTATGAATAAAGCTGTTCTGAGTATTCTTGTACAAGTCTTTTTGTGGACACATTTTCATTTCTCTTTGATCAATACCCAGAAGTGGGTTTGTTAGGCCAAGTAATCAGTGTTTATTTAACTTTATAAGAAACTAGCAAATTTTTTCCCAAAGTAACTGTAGCATTTTCTGTCACCACGAGCAATGTCTGAGAGTTCCAGTTGCACTGCATCATTGCCAACACTTGATATGCTTGGTCTTTCTAAGTTTAGCCATTCTAGTGCATATGCAGAGGCTTAATTTGCATTTGCTCTGTGACTAACAATAAGGACTACCTATAGTTGTTCACATTACCTTATTATCCTTTATTTATTTTTTAAGTAGGTTCCAAGCCCAGCGTGGAGCCCAAGATGGAGCTTGAACTCACAACCCTGAGATCAAGACCTGAGCTGAGATCCAGAGTTGGATGCTTAACCTACTGAGCCACCCAGGCACCCCTACCTTATTATCCTTTTGATATCTGAAGACTTATAGTGATATACCCTCTTTCATTCCTGATTACGGTAATTTGTCTTCTCTTTTTTTATCTTGTAAGGGAGTTTATCAATTTTATTAATCTATTTAGGGAACAACCATTTGGCTTTGTTAATTTTCTCTACTCATTATCTTTTTCCTATTTCATTGATATTTTGGTCTTATCTTGTTTCCTTCCTCCTGCTTACTCTGGGTTTAATTTGCTCATCTTTTTAATAGCTTTCTAAGGTGGAAGTTTACATTATTGATTTCAAACCTTTCTTTTAACTTAAGCATTTAAAGCCACATATAAATTTCTGCTGTAGCTCTATATGACACATTTTGATATATAGTATTTTTATTATCACTGATTTGAAGTACTTTGTGGTTTCTTCCCTTTCCCTTGTGGTTTCTTCTTTGACCCACTGGTTATTTACAATATATTCACTAATTTCCAAATATTTGGAGATTCAAAAAATATCATATTATGACATTCTTTTTTTTTTTTTTTTAAAGATTTTATTTATTTATTTGGGAGAGATATTTGAGAGAGAGAGAGAATGAGAGATAGAAAGCACGAGAAGGAAGAGGGTCAGAGGGTGAAGCAGACTCCCCGCTGAGCAGGGAGCCCGATGCGGGACTCGATCCCGGGACTCCAGGATCATGACCTGAGCCGAAGGCAGTCGCTTAACCAACTGAGCCACCCAGGCGCCCATATTATGACATTCTAATTTAATTCCATTGTAGTCAGAGAACACATTTTATAAGCTTCAGTCTTCTGAAACTCATTAAGACTCATTTTATGGTCCAGCAAATGGTTTTGGTGATGTTCCATAAGTATTTGAAAAGACTATGTATTCTGCAGTTGTTGGGTATAGTGTTCTACAAATGTCAATGTAATTAAGGTGGTTAATAATGTCATTCACAGGGGCACCTGGGTGGCTCAGTCATTAAGCGTCTGCCTTCGGCTCAGGTCATGGTCCCAGGGTCCTGGGATCGAGCCCCGCATCGGGCTCCCTGCTCCGCGGGAAGCCTGCTTCTCCCTCTCCCACTCCCCCTGCTTGTGTTCCCTCTCTCGCTGTGTCTCTCTCTCTCTGTCAAATAAATAAAATCTTTAAAAAAAAAAAACCACAATGTCATTCACGTCTATAAGTTGTTGTCTTTCACCACACTTGGGAAGTTTTGGGCTATTATTTCTTCAAAGGTTTTTTTCTGCTCTGTTCTCTCTTCAATTTCTGAGTCTCCAATTAGATGTATGTTAATTTGCTTGAAAATGTCTCAGAAGTCTCTGAGGTTTTCTTCATTCTTCTACAATATATTTCTGTTCTTCAGACTTTTTTTTTTTAAGATTTTATTTATTTATTTGACAGAGACTCGATCCTGGGACCCTGGGATCATGACCTGAGCTGAAGGCAGATGCCCAAGCGACTGAGCCATCCAGACGCCCCTATTTACCACTTTTCAATATAATGAATTGATTCCCATCATCCTTTGAAGATGAACAATTTTTTAAAAATTACTATTATAAAAAAATTATGAACTCATGGTTTTGAATGTATTTGATGGGTTTAAGTTATTACCATTATCAAATCTCAAAGTTTCCTATCTTTGACCTGTGGGACCTCTTCAAGTTAGTTCCTGAGTCTTTTTGACAGGACGCTACTGGTTTTTGCTCATTTCCTTGTTATCTGGTATTGTTTTTTTTTCTTTAAAGATTTTATTTGTTTGACAGAGAGAGAGACAGTGAGAGAGGGAACACAAGCAGGGGCAGTGGGAGAGGGAGAAGCAGGTCTCCTGCAGAGCAGGGAGCCCGACACGGGGCTCGATTCCAGGACCCTGGGATCACGACCCAAGCTGAAGGCAGATGCCCAATGACTGAGCCACCGAGGCGCCCCTGCTATCTGATATTCTAAGATCCAGGCTTCATTTTATAAATTTCTTGATCCAGACCTGGAATCAGCCAACTCTCCAAGAAGCTCTCATTTATTTTAGGGAAAAATTCTATTTCAAGATCATAATCAGGGCACTGGTGATACTCATTGCTACTAAGTTGGTCATAGTTTCTAGCCTTCTCGGTGGAAAGAAAAAGTAAGGCGAAAAATCATATAAAGAAAAAAAATCATTTGAGTTCATACTGATATTTCAATTAAAATTTGAGACTACAGAGCTTTTACGTAACCTCTCTATATTTCATTTACTTTTTTTCCTCCATACCATGCATCCTGGTTCTCAAGGACACAAGGAAGAAGAATTAAAATGATCTCTTACTCTTTTGTTTGTATTTATTTATTTATTTTCATTGCTTGTTTATTTAAGTAATCTCTACACCCAACATGGGCTTGAACTCATGACTCTGAGATCAAGAGTTGTCTGCTCTTCTGACTGAGCCAGCCAGGTGCCCCTCTTATTCTGTTTTAACCCCCTATCACAGACACACACACCAATTTCAGAATAACAATACAAATATTATAACAAATATAACTGCTGGAAATAGTGAGGTTTTTTTTTTCCATATGCTCCTCCCATTCTCCATTTAAAAAAATGTTGTACTACTCTACATGATCAGAGCATACAGCTATTACTACAACGCTTAGTTCTACAGTGAACTGTTTCTCATGTTCACCAGCAATCCTTATGTCAATGTCTCTAGTCACTTTGGTCAACTGAAGCTCATGCTCTAGCACAGTACTGACCAATAAACCTTCCTGTGCTGATGTGTTGTCCTGTGTATCTGTTGGTACCCACTAGCAACATGTGCTAAATGTGGCCAGTTCAAGTAAAAAACTAGTGTAAATTTGATTTGATATTAATTTAAATGTAAGTAGTCCCATGGGACTGGTGACTAGGTTTCATATTGGATCACATAGCTCTCTAGCTCTAGCAGATTCCTCATGGGAGGAAGCCTTAAGTTTCTACATAGGAATCTGTGCCCTTTACAGCTGAAAGTTGTTTTTGCTGCATATAAAGTCTTTGGCTTACACTTTTGTTCTTTGAGTATCTCTAATACGTTACTCTATTTTTCTACTTGTATAAAACACTGCTTTTGAAAGTCTGATAATAATCTAATTTCCTTTCCTTTATAAATCACATGTTCTTTTTTTCTGGATCCCAAAGGAGTTTTTCTTGTAGGTTCAGAATTTTACTAGAATATGTCTTGGTGCCGCTTTTTCTGGGCTGATATTCTCAGGTACATCATGTGCTCTTTCAAAAGTAGTTTCAGAATTTTTTTCATTTCAGGAAAATTTTATTGAATTATAGTGTTTAGGATATGTTCTGTTTCCATGCTTTCGTTTTCTTCTTCAGAGCTTCCTTTATGTGTATGTTCTAACTTCTTTGCTTATTTCAAATATTTGTCATTTTCCCTGTAATCTTTTTTCTCCTTATTTCATTTTGATATTTAATATTTTCTTCCCTTTCATCCTTCCTATTTGTTGTTAAGGCTTTATTGTGCTTCATTGTTAGTGTGTACTTTTTTTTTTTAGATTTTTTATTTATTTATTTGAGAGAGAGAGAGAGAGAGAATGAGAGATAGAGAGGACGAGAGGGAAGAGGGTCAGAGGGAGAAGCAGACTCCCTGCCAAGCAGGGAGCCCGATGCGGGACTCGATCCCGGGACTCCAGGATCATGACCTGAGCCGAAGGCAGTCGCTCAACCGACTGAGCCACCCAGGTGCCCTAGTGTGTACCTTTCAACCCAGTCTTTTTTCTGGTATGATTTTTTATTTTATTTCTAGTTCTTTCCTGAGTATTGTCACTTTGTTTCTGAATTTTCCAGTTTTGATTTGTGTTGTTCTTTCATGTCTTGAATGATGTGCTTAAAAAATTCTAGCTTGCTTTAACATAGTAGGTCACTGTTTTGATCTCTTTTGTAGCCATGTCTTTCTGGTATGCTTCCATTATCAGGAGGGATGTTGATGTTATGTGCTCCTTATTCCTTTTTTTGCTTTTAATTAACTTTGTACGAGATTAACCAAGATACTTTTTTGTTGCTTATTTTATATAAAATTAATTTTCCTAAATTTTTAGAATGAGGCAGGATTTAGTAAAGATTTTTTAACATCACAGAGCTTACTGGTACTCCTACTGTTTCAGTGTAGTGGTAAACAATATGGCAGCTTGCTTTCAATTCCTCTCCCCCTCTCTGATTTGGGTATTTCAATTTCTTCCTTTCTCTTGTTCTTAACCTGCTTACTTTCGATTCTACTTCCAGCAGTTTCTTCTTAGTGAGAAGGGAGCATAGCACCCTCAAACTTCCTCAGGCCTCTGGAGTGACAAATCTTTCCCATTTTCAGTTTCTGTTCTCAAACTGGCTCACCATTCTTTCCAGTGAATAGCTGTTGGTTATCTGTGAGTTCCTTTGTTCCCAGGTACGTCAGATAGCTTCCTCTACTACCGCTGCCTCCTTCTTTCTTCCACACAGATACTGATATCATCCAGGCCTTGTAGTTGTGCAGTGTATTCATAACTGTTTGCATTTTACAGTTTAAGTGATATCCTATCACCCAGTGTTTGGTTTTGTTACCTAGTAGCTCTATTATTATTTGCCAATTTGGAGAGAGCAAAAAACTATGCTTTTGCTACCATCTCCCCAGAATCTCTGGTTATTTCTTACTGAGACTCTCCATTGGTTCACTCACTGTACTTATATATGTTCCTTTAACTCTGTGAACATATCTATAATAGCTGCTTGAAAGTCCTTGTCTACTAACTGAAATCTTAGGGTTATTCAGGATCTGCTTTTATTGACTATTTTTCTTGATTATGGGTCATTTTCTGATTCTTTTCCTGATTCTTCTCATGTCTATTGATTTTTTTTTTAACTGAAAACTGGATTACTTTTGTAATCAGAAAATAAAAACTCCAAATTTATTTTATTTATTTTTAAAGATTTTATTTTTAAGTAATCTCTACACCCAACATGGGGCCTGAACCCCAAGCTCAAGATCAGGAGTCACATGCTCCACTGACTGAGCCAGCCAGGCACCCCTCAAATTTATTTTTTTAAATGTGAATGTGTGTGTATTAACTAGGTGTGTCTAGATGACTGATCCTATGGTTTGGTGAATAAAACAGTCTTGGAAAGTAATCAGGAGTTTTGCAAAGGCAATTAACCTGCGCTAGAGGGGACCTGTATATTTTTCAGTCATTTATTCCTAATATACCCATATTCCAACTCATACTCCTAAGCAGCAATGGGAACTGTAGAAGTCCTACCTGCCATTGACAGGCCAGGTACGGGTTATGTCACTCACATAGCAAGAAGACTCACAACCTCCATCCAGCAGCACCATTTCCCCATCCTGCAACAAAAGTATGGTATGTCAAAGTAGGTGACCTTATGATTGTCAGTTGTTTTTTTTCTAATTTAAACACTTTGTGTCTTTCATTTTATATATATATTTAAAAAGCTAACTTAAAGGAGACTAATCTTCTCTGGTTCCTTCTTATAAGAAACAGCATCTCGATTTTTCAAATGAATTCACATGACTTAAGAAAGTGGCTGTTGCGTAGTAGTGTAGTGCATAGGCCCACACTGGAACCACACTGTTTAGGTCTGAATTACTAGGTGTAAACAGCACATCATAAATGGTATCATTATCACCATTATGTTTAAAATTCCTATATAAGTTGGTATCCAGGGCCTTATTCAAATACGATTACCCTTAACCATTTAACTTTTAGAATATCATTTCCCCTTTTGCTCCCCATCACAATACATGTGGGGAAAGAAAAAAAGCTTTAGGTTTATCTCTCTCTTATTACTTGTCATATTATATTGAAACTACCTATTTATGTCCTTAAAGACAGGGTACATCTTATTTATGTATAAATAAACACACAACTTGGCTTGTAGTAGAATAATGGTTCAATGGGTATATATATTTAATAATGGCAACTTTGACGAATGGATGTGGGTTTTGTTTCTGGCAAAATGACAGAATACATTTCTTGTTAGAAAACAACCAGATCCTATGGGTGTTATATGCAAACAATGAATCATGGAACACTACATCAAAAACTAATGATGTAATGTATGGTGATTAACATAACAATAAAAAATGTCAAGGAAAACAACCAGATCCTGGATACAGATATATTTTATGAAAGGTTGACATTACATAATGTAAGAGAGGTCTTAAAGACTTTTTCTCTCTTGAAAAAAGGTACCCCAGAACTGAAACTAGAGCTAAGAGTAGTGATAAGGTAAGTGGTACTGTAGACACAGAAAAGGAGATGTTGCCCTGAGGTCCTGCAGCAAAAAGTGGGGATAATGAGCCAGCGATTCTCACATTAATCCAGGATTCTCATAGGGGATACAAGAGTCCCAGGTCATTAGGACCACTAATCTTTTGGCAAAAGCATATTCAAACAACTTCTGGAGGAAATTTCCCCCAAATTTGGGCTGGCATGATTTCAAAAAAATAACATCAAGTAAATAAATGTGAGCTCACAACCAAAGGTCGTCAAGCACACAAGATAGGTCACTGTATGTGAGAGTCAGCAGGAACAAATACCAAATTTAGATCTGCCAGGACTTCAGGTAAGGGAATGATTAGATACAGAATAGCTATCATGAAATGTTTAAAGGGATAAGGAACAGAACCACAAAGATGAATAAGCAAAAAGAGACAATTGAAAAGAACTATGCTGATTTGAAAGGAACCAGAAGGAAAGAAAAAACAACTTCTGAAGTCAATCTCTCAGAGGATGGCTGAAGAAGCAGATTAGATAACCAAAGGGAAACTGGCTTCCTGGAAGACAGACATACCCAAGTCCCCTAGAATATGAGAGAGAGAGACAAGGCAAATGTAAACATGGAAGCTAGCTTGCTGGAAACAGAAAAAGGTCTAACACACATCTACCTGAAGTTGCTGAAGGAGTGAACAGAATGTAGGAGAGACGTATCTACACCAGTGTCTGAGAATTTCCTAGAACTGATGAAGACACGAATGCAGATTCGAGAGGGGGAAGGTATCATGATGACTGTATGTAAAAATAAATCTACTCTTAGACACACAATAAAACCGAAAAATAGCAAAGGAAAAGAAAACTTTAAAAAAAATTATTTATTTATTCATTCATTCATTTTTTAGAGAGAGCACATATATGCGCAAGTGGTGGGGGAAGGGGCAGAGGGAGAGAGAGAATCTTTTTTTTTTCTCATTAAATTTTTGTTTTAATGGGTCTCAAAATTCTGTGACAGATTTTTGGTCAAGTTGTTTCCATTAAAAAGTACTGATTTTAAAAACTAATAACTTAAAACTGCCACACACACACACAAAAAACATGGTCCACAAAACATTCTCCTTTCCTTCTGAAGGTTTTACGATGCATTGTTATCATTAACCAGTCTTTTACTATTAAACTTAAATGGCCAATTGACACAAACAGTTCTGAGACCGTTCTTCCACCACTGATTAAGACTGGGGTGGCAGGTATTGGGGATAATATTCATTTAGCCTTCTGAGCTTTCTGGGCAGACTTGGTGACCTTGCCAGCTCCAGCTGCCTTCTTGTCCACTGCTTTGATGACACCCACAGCAACCGTCTGTCTCATGTCACGAACAGCAAAATGGCCCAGAGGAGGATAGTCAGAGAAGCGGGAGAGAGAGAATCTTAAGCAGACTCCACATTGAGCACTGAGCCCATGATGGGGCTAGATCTCAGGACTCTGAGATCATGACCTGAGCTGAAATCAAGAGTTGGATGCCCCCCAGGCGCCCACCCCAAAGGAAAAGAATCTTAAAATAGTCAAAGCAAAAAGAGATTTCCCATAAGGAATGATAATTAGTATTTTTGTTTGTTTTTATTTTGTTTTAAAGATTTTTTAAATTTATTTGAGAGAGAGCAGGGCGGGGCGGGGGAGAGCCCATGAGAACAAGCACAAGCAGGGGGAGGGGCAGAGGGAGAAGCAGATTCCCCGCTGAGCAGGGAGCATGATGCCAGGCTGGATCCCAGGACTCTGGGATCATGATCTAAGCCAAAGGGAGACGCTTAACTGACTGAGCCACCCAGAAGCCCCTCGTTTGTTTGGTTTTAATCTGCAACCCTGAAAGTCAGAAGAAACGGGAATGATATACTAAAGATGATGATTGAAAAGAATCTAGGATAGTTTCCTTGGCATAGCCATCATCAAGAATTGAGAATGAAATAAAGATATTTTGACTAAAGGAAAATAGAAAATTTTATCAGCCACAGACCTTCATCTAAAGGATTTTCTTCAGGTTGAAGGAAGCTGATCCCAGGAGGGCCATCTAAGATGTAAGAGGGAAAGGTGAACATGCATGTAAATCTAAACAAACTGTCAGAAGAGCTCTGCTTTGGCCTCTTGCTGACAGTGCCATATAGCTGTGGTTAGAGGCAGAAGCACAGAGCAGCCTGTTCTGATGACATTTCTATCAGATGCCTACTACTGAGTCCACTAGAGCTAACTAGAGCTCTCCCCGATGCCCCAACGGTACCCTGCATTTCTTACAGCTTGTTGAGGACCTTGCCCACAGACTTCACCAGAGAAAGCCCTTGTAAGCTTTTGGATAACCAAAGCAAGACTATGATCTGGAAGTTCTCAACTTATTTTCTCTCAGGCCAATTTATCTAATAATGGGAATACTTTTCTCTCCTTGGACAGCTACAATGGAGCTTATTCTCCAGTTTTTTAAGAATGGGCAATATATTATTTAGGAATAGACACACGTGGTAAAATTATGAAGAAAAACAACAAAAATGATTAAAACAAAAGACGGTAGGAGATAGAAAGGGGGATGTGCTTGAGCTTGCCCAGGGGACTACTAATGTTCTTCTCATCCTAGATGATATATGGTTATTCATTCAATTATTTTTAAACAGTACATTATATTTATTGTTTTTAATATATGATATATTTAACAACTTAGGAAAACCTTGGAGAATATAATCAAAGTGAGAAATTTATCCTTAGACCCTTAGAGTAAAAAAAGAAAGGATGCAAATTAATGAGTTTAGCATCTAATTTAAGAAACCAGAAAAAGAACAAGAGAATAAACACAAAAAGTAGAAGGGTGAAATTAATAAAGGCAAGGGCCCAGTGTAATGAAATAATAAAGAAAGATAAAATAATATTAATGATGTGGAAAGTTGGGTTTTACAAGAATAATAAAACCCAGTGAATCTCTGGTGAGATTTCTTTTTCTAGCCAAAGTTTTTTGAGATTTAATGTATGCACAGTAAATGCACAAATCTTAAGTATATAGAGTTAAGTCAGTTTTGTCAAATGCCCTCAGGCCCCTTCCCAGTCAATATCCCCATGAGGAGCAACCAATGATGTGATTTCTATCATCATAGATTAGTTTTGCCCATTTTAGAACTTCATATAGATGGAATCATATAGTTTATAATTTTTTGTGTCTGGTTTATTCACTCAGCATAATGCATTGAGAGCATTCACTGGTAGTACAGTGGTTTGTTCCATTTTATTTGAAGAATACACCACATGGCAATTTCCGTATCTAATATCCTGGTGATGGACACTTGGTCTATTAGTAGTGAACTTGCTATGAACATTCTTGTACAAGGCAATTTGTGGATCTATGTTTTAATTTTTCTTGAAAAATACCTATAAATGGAATTGCTGGTGCACAGGGTAAATGTATGTTTACTTTTTATAAAAAGAGAAAAGGCATCAGCTTCAGGCTGTCCTTTCCCCTGCAGCCTCTGCTCTGGCAGGAGTACCCCGGCCAAGCTCCAGAAATGTGTGGAGGGGACAGCTGTGGGCTTTGGACAGAGGAAGCCCCAGGATGACTTGAAAGTAGGGCATCCTGAAGAGAGAAAAGTAGTGGCTGGTGAGCAGTCTGTATGGCATTCTCAGATGCCTTGACCTGAGTGAGAAATCTGCCTCCATTAGGACCTCAGATGTCTGACAGCCCTATGTAAGACCAGGATGGGATATTCCTGTAAATATGCTACAGGTCATGTGGCACTCTACAACACTGACAACATTTACTGCATGTTGATGATGTGCCGGGATTGGTAAACTCATTCTACATATCTTAACCCTCTCAACAGGCCTACAAGGTACTGCTGTTATTTGCCCAAGGTCACACAGTGGGTCCAGGAACTACTGTGGTGTTCAATTAATCTAGCTCCAAAGCTAGTGTTTGATTTGGAACTTTTAAGTATGGTGCCCCCAGGTCTTTCTAACTAATTCTAATAACTAATTGCTTGTCTTCTTGAATCAAAAAAAGAAAAAAAAAAAAGAAAAAATGCAAAAATATATCAAGAATGTAAAAAGGTACATAACTATAATTACAAAAGATTAAAAGGTAGAAGATGCTGAGTAATTTTAAAAATGTAGACAAAATGGTAGAAAAATATAACCTACCAAATTGTCTCAGGAAAAGTGAAGTATAAATTGATATAATCAGGACACCTGGGTGGCTCAGTCGTTAAGCGTCTGCCTTTGGCTCAGGTCATGATCCCAGGGTCCTGGGATTGGGCCCCGCATCGGGCTCCCTGTTCTGCGGGAAGCCTGCTTCTCCCTCTCCCACTCCCCCTGCTTGTGTTCCCTCTCTTGCTGTGTTTCTCTCTGTCAAATAAATAAATAAAATCTTAAAAAAAAATTGATATAATCACTTTGGAAATGTTTTCTACTAAAGTGCAAATAGGCATACCTATGACCCATCAATTCCATTATTATGTGTTCCTTAGACAAATTTGATAACATGTATACTAGGAATAACATATAAGAATGTTCACAGAACAGGGCACCTGGGTGGTTCAGTTGGTTAAGTGGCTGCCTTTGGCTCAGGTCATGATCCCAGGGTCCTGGGATCAAGTCCCGCATCGGGCTTCCTGCTCAGCGGAGAGCCTGATTCTCCCTCTCCCTCTGTCTGCTGCTCCCCCTGCTTGTGCTCTCTCTCTCTCTCTCTGTGTCAAATAAATAAATAAAATCTTTTTTTTTTAAAGATTTTATTTATTTGAGAGAGAGAATGAGAGATAGAGAGCACGAGAGGGAAGAGGGTCGGAGGGAGAAGCAGACTCCCTGCTGAGCAGGGAGCCCGATGTGGGACTCGATCCCGGGACTCCAGGATCACGACCTGAGCCAAAGGCAGTCGCTTAACCAACGAGCCACCCAGGCGCCCAATAAATAAAATCTTTAAAAAAAAAAAAGGATGTTCACAGAACATTGTTCATAATGGTAAAAACTTAGAAACTGTATAAATGGCCACCTATGGATACTTATTTATCACACTAATAAATTAAAACTGAGAAAGCTTTACAGTATTTGCTAATTTGTTTAAAAATAACAATAATTACATATTAAGATAAATAACATTTTTAATGAAAAGTAACTATTTTTCTAAATAAAAACATGCAGTTAGAAATGTGGTATTGTTATCCAGTTTTACAAATCTCTTTGTCTAGCATAACAGAAAACAGCTAGAATCTCATATCTACTTATCCCCCTTCAATCTGGTGTGATATTGCAGGTCATAAAGCCGCTGGGTTACTTCCTTGTACACTTGAGAGAATGAAAGTGGAAAAGACAAGTAATGTCTGGGTAGTCTTATAAAAATGTATTTAACCTCACAGATCACACTCCAACTGCTGTTCTCTACTACAACAATTAAAATGAACAAACTGCAGTGGTATGCAACAACATACTGTTATTTGAAAAAGACACAGACATAATATTTCAAATATATAAAGCTCAAACATGACCAAAGCCAAACTATGTTAAACCATATTGTTTATTAGTAGTAGAATAAACTGAAAAGCAAAGAAATGATGACCATCAAAATCAGGAGAGTGGTTATCTCACCAGGGAGAGAAGTTATCATTGGGAAGAACCACGTGGTGGAAAAGCTTCTTAGGGGTGGAGGGATAGTAATGTCCTGTTTCAGGCATTCACAATTTTTTTCTGTAAAGGGCTAGATAGTACATATTTTTTTACTTTCTGTACCATACTGTCTCTGGTGCAACTACTCAACTCTGCCATTGTGGGAAGAAAGCAGGAATAGCTGTATTCCAATAAAACTTTATTCACAAAACAAAAGGGCAGGCTGGATTTGGTGCAGAGAGCTACGGCTTGCCAATACTCATTTTATTTGACAAGGTAATGGTTACACGGGTGTCCACTTTATAATTATGAAACTGTTCCTTTATGTTTTAAGCACTTTACCAGTAGTTGCATTTTAAAATAAGAAATGTCAAAAAGGAAAAAAAAAGAAACAGAACTTTAGTATATTAAAGAAATTGAATCAGTAGTTAAAAAAAGTTTACACAGGAAAATATCAGACCCAAATAGTTCTATAGGTATATTCCACCCAATTTTCAAAAAAAACATTAACTCAAATCATTTCATAATATTACAAAAAGAAACTACTCATTTTATGAGCTTAATTTGGACTTGATATGAAAATCAGAAAAAGACAGTATGAGAAAAGTAAGCCAATCTCACTCATGAACACAAATCAGAATATCCTAAACAACACATTAGCAAGTTGAAACTAGTAGTGCTAAAGATAAAAAAGATGCTTAATTTCACTGATAATTAAGGTAACAGAAATTAAGACCACGATGAGATACTGTTTTATACCAATTAGAATGGCAGAAATTAAGAAGTCTGATAACGCCAAGGGATAGAGAAGATGTGGTCAGTAGAATTACACACCATTGGCAGGAGTATAAACAGATACAAATACTTGGGGAAAAAATTTTGTATTATCACACTTGCGAATAAAAAAAATTTCCAAAAAACTATATATAGCAGTATAATTTTTATGTAGTTCACAGACCAGCAGAACTAATTTTTTTCTTTTTACAAGCAGAACTAATTGTTTGGGGAATCATGTATACATGATACAACTGCCTTAAAAAAAATCAAGGGAAGGGGCGCCTGGGTGGCTCAGTCGTTGGGCGACTGCCTTCGGCTCAGGTCATGGTCCCAGGGTCCTGGGATCGAGCCCCGCATTGGGCTCCCTGCTCAGGGGAGAGCCTGCTTCTCCCTCTCCCTCTGCCTGCCGCTCTGCCTACTTGTGCTCTCTATCTGTCAAATAAATAAATAAAATCTTAAAAAAAAAAAATCAAGGGAAGACAAAAATTTAGGATAACCAGTTAGTTACCTCTGGGAGGGAGGCAACAGGATAGCAAAGCATAAAGACACATAAGTAGATGCAAAGAATTGGTAATGTTCTAGCTCTTCAGCTGAGTGATCAGTTCATGGGTATTCATTTAAAAAATATGCTGTGTAATTTACATATTTGCTATATTTATTTTTCTGAAATTACTGAAAATTAAAACAGATAATTAAAAGTGGACTTTGGGTGCCTGGGTGGCTCAGTTGGTTAAGTGTCTGACTCTTGATCTCAGCTCAGGTCTTGTTCTTAGGGTCATGAGTTTAAGTGCTGCACTGGGCTCCATGCTGAGCACTGAGGCTACTTAAAACAAAACAAAAAACCCCTTTTCCCACCTTAAAAAAAAAAAAGTGGACTTAATAAAGGCATATACAATTCTTTACTTGTATAGTCATTTGGGGAGAAAACCATAAAAGATACTCCCTCACAGCTAATAAGGTACTATTAAAATCTGTCTGCTCCCAAAATATGCATGGCCCACTGTTGCCCAAGTCCTTTGAGAAGGAGTGTTATTAAAAAATATGAGCAGGGAAAGAAATGAGCAGAGGCTTTAGAGTAGAATTCTCAGCTCTGCCCTAATGAGTTGCCTAATTTTTTATTTTCCTCATCTGTTCAACAGGCATGTTAATAATTGCTCCTATCTCACAGTGCTAACGTGAGAATCAAATGAGATAATGTCTGTAAAATCATTTTATAAACAATAAAGTGCTTTAGAAGTGGCACCACAGGAAGTGGCACTGAAGGGCATTTCGTGTACCTTGATGAGCTGATTATTCTTCACATAGTGCAAAGTGTTTGACCGATTACCTCCAGCGACCACGGGCGGGTAGGCTAAGATGTCTGCACCACGGGCCCGGCATTCAAATTCAAACTGAAAAACAACATAGAAGACAGGATTTCCTCAGGGCTGTACCAGCCCAGGCTCTCTCCAACAAACAGCCTATCCCTCCATTCAAGTACGTCTTTTCCGTCATTACTGGAAAACAAGTTATCAAATCTAACCAAACTTCTCACGCTGTAATTCCAGTCTATTTTTTATTCTCCCCCCATCCTGTTACTTCACCCTATTATTAAGTCTCTTCTGTTTCTCTGAGTGCTCCAAATTTCCTATGATTTTCCAATTAAGTCCAGAAGAGAACACAGAAAACCTACGATCAAGGCTGAGTACAGAGACACAATTGAGTAGAGTTCCTGTTTTTTTTTCATATTTAGATAAACACTGGAATACAGCTTGCAGTTTTAACAACAGCTCTGAATTACTAAATTTCAACTTTTCAAATAGCTACCTACCTAAATGTGCTGGAAAAGTGAAAAAGGATGCTAGGCAAATGGCAAATGCTAATTTCACTTTGTTCAAGGATGGAGCTGGAGACTGGTGAGCAGCTGCTGCTCTTTCCAGTACTACTCCGATTCTCCTCCTTTACATTTACTTAAACAATATTCTCGCTCACATTTGACTAAGTCTTTGCTTCTTCATCTGTTCTGCTTTGCAATTTTCATTTAACTGTAGCTCTGTGTATTTTAGACACATCTAATAAATTATCAGTGACATTTAAGAACCAAATCCTCTCCACTGACATCCTGGTCACTTACATGAAAGCCAACTGGATGTCATTGGCAAATCAATGAAATTACTTTACTTATTACTATTTTTGTCTCCAATAAAACCTTTCCAATCTTTTAAAGCTCACCTTCGCATAAAGGAAGCCTTCCTCCATGGGAGCTTTACTGGCAAACATGGTCTCTACAAAAGCCTGTAAACAGAATGGAGGATGAACAGTCTCATTTTAAATACATTGCTTACTCAAACATTCAAAATACTACAGCTCAAATGAAAAGCACCCTTCTCCCCAATTTTGCTGACCTGAAGTTGTGACTTTGTGACCCGATAATATAGACTTCTGAAGAGGAAACTATTGCTTTCAGGACTATTTGACTGATAACAGATTTAGTGGAAGGGTGACTCAACAATCACACTCAGAATATACATTGGTATGCCAGAGTAAGCTACATGGGAACACATTTGTCATTTACGTAACAAAGTAGCCCAGAAATGTATGAAATTATGGATCGAATGGTCCAGTCTACCGTAAGGTTTCCCAACCTTAGCATTGTCGACATTTTGGACTATATAACTCTTTTTAGGGTGCCAGCAGCACTCCCCAACTGAGAATCAGATACTGCAAGATATCCCCTAAAGGACAAAACTGGGGCACCTGGGTGGCTCAGTCATTTAGCATCTGCCTTCGGCTCGGGTCATGATTCCAGGGTCCTGGGATCAAGCCCCACATCGGGCTCCCTGCTCAGTGGGAAGCCTGCTTCTCCCTCTCCCACTCCCCGTTTGTGTTCCCTCTCTCGCTGTCAAAAAATAAATTAAAAAAATCTTTGAAGGACAAAACTGCCCCAAGTTCAGAATCAGTGACCTATAGTAGAAATACTTTATTTCTCTGTGATAGCCATTCCACGTGTTTCCTTTTTTTTAATGAACGTACAATGTTTATAATTCACCACTGTACCTTATTCCAAAAAGATTTTGACTAGTTTACATGGATACACAAAATACAACAAGATGGCACAAATTCACGGCAGAATTAAAGAAAAGCAAGCCTTAAGCAGAATGGAGCTCAAAAAACTAAGTATGCATACCATAATGACCTTCACAATTACTATGGCAACTATGGATGGGCCACAAATTTATCTGAGTTTTCTAGTAACCAGTGTGAAAAGGGAAACTGTCAGCTATATTTCCCATGTCTGTGGGATAAAAACAAATCAGCTGCACAGGGATAGGATTATACGATTCTACCACTAGAAAGGAATTTCTCTCGAGTTATGTTCTAAGAGTGAAGGCAATATGGGAAGGAATGTTTTTAATAACATTTTTCCAAATATAAGGCAATGACATCATCATAAAGCCCAACAGAGGGAAAGCAAGTGGGCTGGCCATGAAATAGCTGTGTGGCTTGCCCCTGTTCTCATTCTGATCCTTCCTCAAATGTTTCTTCCTCAGAGAGGCCTTTCTGACAGCCCCATCTCACTTAGCACTTCTACCACACTTCATTCCCTTCTACTGCTTCCTTTTCTTCACAGTATTTAATTCCAGCTAACTATACAGCATGTTTGTTTACTGTCTCTCCTCAACTAGAATGTACACTGAGGACATGGACATTGATTTGCATTTCCTTGATGATGGGTGATGATGAGCATCTTTTCATGTGGTATCTAAACCTACTCTGTTGAGGGTTGTTTTTGTTTTTTTTTTAATTGGGTGGGTAACTTTTGCATTTCTTTCTTTTTTTTTTTTTTAAGATTTTTAAAATTTATTTGACAGAGAGAAGAGACAGCAAGTGAGGGAACACAAGCAGGGGGAATGGGAGAGGGAGAAGCAGGCTTCCTGCTTGAGCAGAGAGCCTGATGTGGGGCTCGATCCCAGGACCCTGGTTCATGACCTGAGCCAAAGTCAGACACTTAACTGAGCCACCCAGGCACCCCTGTTGAGGGTTTTATCATGGATCAATGTTGTACTTTATCAAATGCTTTTTCTGTGTCTACTGAAATGATCATATGGTTCTTATCCTTTCTTTTATTGATGTGATATATCATGCTGATTGATTTGCAAATATTGACCCACCCTTGCAACCCAGGAAAAAAAATCTCACTTGATTGTGGTGAATGATTTTACGTATTGCTGTATTCAGTTTGCTAGTACTTTGTTGGGGATATCTGCATCTATGTTCATCAGAGATACTGGCCTGTGGTTCTCTTTTATTGTGGGGTCTTTATCTGGTTTTGGTTGCAGGGTAATGCTGGCCTCATAAAATGAATTTGTAAGTTTTCCTTCCTTTTCTATTTTCTATTTTTTGAGAAGAATAGGCATTAACTCTTTTTTAAATGTCTGGTAGAATTCACCTGTGAAGCCGTCTGGTCCTGAACTTTTTGTTGGGAGTTTTTTGAGTACTGATTCAATTTTTTTGCTGGTAATGGGACTGTTCAAATTTTCTATTTCTTCCTGTTTTAGTTTTGGTAAGTTATATGTTTCTAGGAATTTATCCATTTCTTCTATGTTGTCCAATTTGCTGGCATTAGTTTTTCATAATATTCTCTTACAATTGTTTGTATTTCTGTGGTGTTTGTTATTTTTCCTCTTTCATTTGTGATTTCATATATCTGGGTCCTTTCTCTTTTTTTCTTGAGGAGTCTGGCTAGAGGTTTATCAATTTTATTGATTTTTTTCAGAGAACCAGCTCCTGATTTTATTGATCTGTTCTATTGTTTTTTTAGTTTCTATATCATTTGTTTCTGCTCTAATCTTTATTATTTCCTTCCTTTTGCTGGTTTTAGGCTTTGTTTTTCTAGCTCCTTTAGGAGTAAGGATAGGTTGTTTGAGATTTTTCTTGCTTCTTGAGGTAGGCTTGTATTGCTATAAACTTCCCTCTTAGGACTGCTTTTGCTGCATCCCAAAGATTTTGAAATGTTGTTTTCGTTTTCATTTGTTTCCATGTACTTTATTTCTTCTTTTATTTCCTGGTTGACCCATTCATTGTTTAGTAGCATGTTATTTAACCTCTATATATTCGTGGTCTTTCCAGATTTTTTATGGTTGACTTCTGGTTTCATAGTATTATGGTCAGAAAATATGCATGGTATAACTTCGATCTTTTGGAATTTGTTGAGGTTTGTTTTGCAACCTAATATGTGATGTATTCTGGAGAACATTCCATCTACACTTGAAAAGAATGTGTATTCTTCTGTCTTAGAATGGAATGTTCTTAATATATCTGTTAAATCCATCTGGTCCAGTATGTCATTCAAAGCCATTGTTTCCTTGATTTTCTATTTAGATGATCTGTCCATTGATGTAAGTGGGGTGTTAAAGTCCCCTACTCTTATTGTATTATTATTGATTAGTTCTTTTATGTTTGTTATTAACTGTTTTATGTATTGGGTGCTCCCATAAATATTTAAAATTGTTATATCTTCTTGCTGGATTATCCCCTTCATTATTTTAGTGTCCTACTTTGTCTCTTGTTATAGTCTTTGTTTTAAAAGTCTATTTTGTCTAAGTATTGCTACTCTAGCTTTCTTTCTTTTTCAAAGATTTATTTGAGAGAGAGAAAGAGAGAAGCAGACTCCCGACTGAGCAGGGGCTCAATCCCTGGACCCTGGGATCATGACCTAAGCGGAAGGCAGATGCTTAGCGACTGAGCCACCCAGGTGCCCCTACTCCACCTTTCTTTTTACAACCATTTGCATGATAAATGTTTCTCCATCCCCTCACTTCCAATATGTGTCTTTAGGTCTAAAATTAGTCTTTGTAGGGGCGCCTGGGTGGCTCAGTTGTTAGGCGTCTGCCTTTGGCTCAGGTCATGGTCCCAGGGTCCTGGGATCGAGCCCTGCATCGGGCTCTCTGCTCAACAGGAAGCCTGCTTCTCCCTCTCCGACTCCCCTCTGCTTGTCTTCCCTCTCTCGCTTTATTTCTGTCAAATAAATAAATAAAATCTTTAAAAAAAATGAGTCTCCTGTAGACTATTGATATAGATGGGCTTGTTTTTTTTACCCATTTTGTCATCCTTTGTCTTTTGATTGGAGTGTTTAATCCATTTACATTCAGAGTAATTAATGGTAGATTAATTGGCATTTTATTACTTGTTTTGTGGTTGTTTCTGAAGATTTTCTCTGACCCTTTCTTGTCTTTCTCTTTTTCATGGTTTGCTGGTTTTCCTTAGCGATATATTTGGATTTCTCTCTTTATTCTCTGCATATTAGTGGTTTCTAATTTGTGGTTACCATGAGGTTTGTATATATGATGGTTGTTTAAGTTTGAACCCATTCTTTACTCCTCTCCTCTGCACATTTTAGGTATATGGTGTTATATTTGACATCTTTTTATTTTGTGAGTTCCTTGACTGATTTTTGTTTGTTTGTTTATTTATTTATTTATTTTTTAAAGATTTTATTTATTTGACAGATAGATAGAGAGCACAAGTAGGCAGAGTAGCAGGCAGAGGGAGAGGGAGAAGCAGGCTCTCTGCTGAGAAGGGAGCTGGATGCGGGGCTCGATCCCAGGACCCCAGGATCATGACCTGAGCCAAAAGCAGCCGCTTAACCAACTGAGCCACCCAGGCGCCCCTCCTGGCTGATTTTTAACAGAAATACTCATTTTTACCACTTTTGTGTTTCCTACCTTTATATTGTCATTTTTGGTCTTTCCTTTCCACTCAGAGTCCCCTTTAATATTTCTTGCATGGCTGGTTTAGTGGTCATGAAATCCTCTAGTTTTTGTTTGTCTGGGAAACTATCTTTCCTTCTATTCCAAAGATAGCTTTGCTGGATAGAATATTTTGGCTGCAGGTTTTTCCTATTCAGCACTTTGAATATATCATGCCAGTCCTTTCTGGCTTGGAAAGCTTCTGCTGAAAAATCTGATAGACTTATGGGGTTTCCTTTATATGTAACTGTCTTCTTTTGTCTTACTGCTTTTATTTTATTTTTAAAGATTTTATTTATTTGACAGAGAGAGACACAGCGAGAGAGGGAATACAGCAGGGGGAGTGGGAGAGGGAGAAGCAGACTCCCCACGAGCTGGGAGCCTGATGTGGGGCTCGATCCCAGGACTCTAGGATTATGACCTGAGCTGAAGGCAGACACTTAACAACTCAGCCACCCAGGCGCCCCGTCTTACTGCTTTTAGTATTTTTTCTTTATCACTGTACTTTGCCATTTATTTATTATTTAAAAAAGCAATCTCTACACC